GTGGTTGTGGTTGTGGTTGTGGTTGTGGTTGTTGTTGTTGTTGTTGTTGTTGTTGTTGTTGTTGTTGTTGTTGTTGGGACTGTGGTTTTTGTTGGGACTGTGGTTGTTGTCCCAGTTCTTCTGAGACTTTTAGTGCATGACCATCATCATGACATCACCCGCAGCGAAATGAGTCCGGATTGTGTTCCACCACCAGGGCCACCAGGGCCCCAAACTGCTTATCTTCCTTCCACTGGCCCTCATAGCGCGAGCCGTCAGCGTGTTGGTACCTCAGGCTGACGATGCTCGACTTCATCAATCCCAGTTGAAAACATGAAGGGCACTGCTGGACCAATCACATGAAGGGAATCAATGAAAAACCTTTGGACCATGAGGATTCCTACCACTGGATGCAGTAAGTTGCTCATGCTTTTCACCAGTGGTATCTCTTTTTACTGGATAGCTTCAATGATTCCAGCTTCCGGATCCACTTGCACTCCAGTGGGAATCAGCAAGCAGTTCAGTTCAGCCCTCTGAGCCATCTGAGTCTCCGAGCATGCCCTGGCCATGCGCCTTGTCTGCCTGCCACTGGCCTTCGTAGACCTCGGATCGACTCGGTGAACGTCGAAACTGCAGTCCGATTGCATGAGTCCGGAAGATGGAGAAGGTGACGCTCCGTGACCAGGGCTGGTCTGCCAGTCTCTAAAGTTTTTGGGGAGCGGAAGCTTGCCAGCTGGTCTTGGGTTTGGGGGTTCTGTCGAAAAGAAACTATGCACTGGGTGGGGGTTCAACCAGTGGCATCAGGAAAGGGATGGATTTGAAGGAATCCACCTGTGAGCTCATAGTAGGGATGGCTTCCCCCCTAGTAGGGATGACCTCCACCCTACAAGAAAATAGTTACTAGTTGCATGATGCTAATGATGTTGCATGCCTGGATTCCCCTGTTTCAGACACACGGAAGTGGTGCATGCCTGAAGCGGTTCTCGTCCCTTGCCTGGGTAGCTCCCCGTATTTTCACATGAGATGCTTCTCTTTTACTAGGAGCATCTTACCCTTACTACAGCACCAGCGCAAAGATTCTTGGGACAACAGCCCCTTGAAGCGGGTTGGCCAATTTGCTTAAACTGACCCATCTCCCCCGCCAAATCCCTCCACAGCTAAACCTTCTTCTCCCCGGCAAGGGATTCGCGCCAAGGCACATCTCCGTCCACGTGTTCGAAGCGGCCCTGGCCGTGTGCCTTGTCTTTGACCTCAACGAGGGGCAAGTCTGATGTGGGCAGCTGGTTGGGCAAAGCGGCTTGCCTGGTGTCTTGGGACCCGAGAGGCTTAGCAGGCTTAGCCGGCTGACACTGTTTTTGTTGGTGTTTGGGAGGACTTCAGTGAGTTGCTCCTGGTGTTTTGTCCTGTTTTTTGTAGCATGGTGAAGGATTGCACACAGCTTGAGAAGGTCAGTTGCTGTTGGTTTAACCAGGGTGACTCGCAGAAAAAGCTTCACAAAACCATGTGCTGTAAACTCAAGTAAAAATTATGTGTGCAGCTCAGAAGTTATATATAGCATTCATGACTGCGCATCCTCAACGATTCGGGAGCGGAAAAGATGCCCTAAACCTCGACCATGCCCTCAACGATTCGGGAGGTTGTTTAGATTGGGATGATCAGGGATAGATTCTTTTGATCTCAGCTTCCAACCCCTCCGGACCCACCTTCTCTTTAGCCATCTCTGGGCTTCCCCGACCCACTGCCCGCAGTATCTGGCACCATCGGGCCACATCTGTCGACGGTGGCAAAGGCCACACGGCGTGGCAAGGTGGCAGGAAGGTCGGTTGGTTTTGGAGGTGAAAACACTGCAAGGATTTTCCAGCACACCTCAGGTTTCACCTTCTGCATCAAAGACCTCCCAACTCCATGGCATCCAACCGCTGGTAGCAACACCGGCCTGTTCCCCATGCCCATGCCGCAGCTCACCCATCCTGCCGTACGGGTGTCGCTGTGCACTGGAGTCTCATTCTCTCGAGCTACAAGTTTGAGATCAACGGGGTGTCCCAAGCAGGGCTTGCTGCTTGATTGTTCTTCTATCAAAACAACCTATTTTCGCAAGGGCTGCTGACAGGACTCACACTCAGCTTTCACGTCAACTCTCTCAAATTGGCCAGAAGCCTAGAAGGCCCCAATCAGCCGCTGAACTTTTTGATGTAAAATTAGCAGGTCCACATCCGAGCAGCGATCTACTTGCAAAGTCAACGTGCATGCACCGCCACTGCCACTCACGAAGAAAGATTAGGACTAGGACTCGCTAGAAACCAGGACAGGATCTTCCGGCACTTGGGGTGGAGACCGAAAAAGTCGGCACAGCCCCGCGCGCCATGAGCCATGGTAGGTGGCGCCGTTCTCGTACCTCGACGCAGATTCAAGGGTGGGCTGTAGCCTGCGTTTTCAAAAAGGAATGCCAACCTACAGAACTCCAAGCCACAAATAATGGATTCACAGAATCACAACCAACCCCAAACACTCCGACAGCTGAGCTTCAGGCGTAAAGAGCGGCCTGGCCGGGGCGATCGAGACGGGAAGAAGCTCAAAACACCCCGACACTCCGAACCTTCAGTGTGATGGCACTGGAGCCCACCAATCACAAGCTGAATGTTGCTTCAGGACCTGCAATCAGGAGTCTCAAGATGATTTCTTCGTAGTTTACATCACCCAAATCCCAAAATGAACCACTCCGCCCACACACATCTACCTTCACACCCACACGCACACCCGGGAAGGCGCCGCGCCTCACTTCGGAGGGCCCCGAGCCCTTCTCATCCAGAAAGTTCACGTTCGTCTCCGCGCGCAACGAGCATCGCGGCCGTCGCGAGCAACAACCCAAGAGACAGGGGCGGTGAGGATGCAAGGCGTTCGGACGTTTGGCGGTTGTGGAAAATCCTTAGGTGGAGAAACAAGAATTAGAATTTAATTAGAATTAAACTATTGTTCCTATTCTAATTAAACTTACTTCTACTAGCTTCTTGTTACTACCAGTAAGGCACTTGTTACTAGAAGCGATGCACTTGTTCCTAGTAGCGAACATTGTTCCTATTCATGAAGGTTGGTCTTTTTGTGTATTTGTACATGGAATGGGGTGTGCCTACGACAACATCACCAGACTGCAATCAACTTCTGGATGTGCTTTGATTAAGGATTTGGATTATATCCCCAAGAAGGGTTCTACGAGGGTGCGCCTTAGATGTTTGCTATTTTGAGCCCAACTCTGCTACTGGCCCAACAATAAGCCAGCCGCCGTGAATTGACCAACGCCTCCCCATCATCATCGGCGTCACACCTGGTCGAAAACCGCGCTCACAGTCGGGGAGTCGCACTAACCCTCCCCAGTGTGTGAGTCATCTTACAGAAGCCCCACAGTGGATTGCTAGGTTAGCTTGCTGAATGTAAGCCGCCAGTGGTTTCTGCTTTCTTAAAATGTTTGAACCGCTTCGCCTTTGTGGAAACTACGCTTCCGGGCAAAAGGATGGAAACTGCCCAGTCACTGTGTCTGGGGGTCCGGACAAGCAGTGACTCCCACGCCCACCCATGGCTCTGAAGGAGTGTCTGCGGCTGTGGCGAAACACCACGGGTGCGGGAGGCGAGCTGAGATGGAGTGTGATTCGAAAGGAATCACAACTTGGGTGTGAAGGTACCTGAATCCATGCGCTCCAAAATGAGATGCCCAAAAGGTTGGAGACTTCGCATGGTTGATAGCTGCAGCAGCCCACAACAGTGTCGCCGTAGACTTGAGAGAGGAGGGGGTGAACGAAAGGTAGCAGGCAATCACAAGTAACCCTGGTAGAAGTCCATGACGGCGTGAACCGGCGCAGGGGGATTTGATCCAGGGGGGCCCCCCCCCGACGAACAGAATCATTTCTTACAGGACCAAATTCAATGCACAATCCCAACTCCATTTTTGCTAAAGCAAGGAGAACTCAGGTAACTCAAGCTACCTTTCGCGACCAGTCCCCAACATCTGCAAACCGATAATTATCCAAAAAGATTCTTCGACAAACAAATCCCTGCTCTTCTTAGCATCTTGGAGCTATAGCAAGTCTGAAGCATCCCATCCCACCTCGGAAAAGGCCTAGATTCGTTCGCACCGCCATGCGCCCCAGGCCGTGAGCCCAAACAGCAGCAGTTTCGTCGTGAAACACGGATCACACGACACATCTTTACCCCCGAGCGAAGCCGGTTCACTACTATATCAGGGCAGGGATACACATAGGGCTAATCACATTTGCAAAACTTGCAGTTTCGTTTTTGAGAAACCCTTCCACATCTCAAGTTGAAGACAAGCTACCTTGTTCAAATATGGCCTGTAGTCCCAAATCCTCTACACTGAACAAATATATATGAAAAAAATGTTTTGGAGATTTACAGCTGTCCAACTCTTTGAACTGTTAAATTCTAAAAGCGCCCAATGAGATCCGCCCTCTGTCACCCCTCGGTCGGACTCTGCACCTCGACAGCTTGGACGGACTCCCTGGCGGAGTTCTGCGGGTGGTGCCCTAATTCAACGGGCACTTTTGGATCCGGGCTCAGTGAAGACTACCAACCTAAGAGCGATGGCCTCCAACCTACTAGCGATAGCCCCCAACTCGATGTTGATTAGTGCTGATTAGGAGCCCTCAAGGGATTGTAAGAGGTGTGGGAGTCATGCTTAGAGCTTTTTGTCTGTCTCATGAAAACCATCAGTTATTGACACACTTAAGCTCTTTCTGTGTCGAGTGAATTGAAAAAGCTTTGTACTCCAGTAGATCTAGCTGAGCTTGGCTTGCCCCTTCGCCACCTTCACTTGGGAGATGCCGCAGACTTCAGTTGAATCGTACCAAGAAAGCAATGACTGGGCAAAAAGTTGGAGACAAAACCCAAATCTGCACCAAACCCACACCAAACCCACACCACCCTTCCGCGCAGCGATCTTCGGTCGTCTTTTCTTCGCCGATCGTCTTTTGCTCGGCCAAGTCTCGGTAGCTCCGTGGAGCTCCGCTAGAGCTGGGCGGTCACGCGAGGTCGACGGGGAGTGGAAACCGGTGGGAAACCAGAAAACATCGGAAGGAATTCACAAGACTCTTGTTCCGGTCGTCACTGACACCCTTATTCAGTTGTCTAGCAGTTGACCTTCAAATTCTACCCTGCATGGCTGTCATAATGCCCCACTGACATGGTACAACAAGGTGCTTCATGCTGTTCCTTGGTCATTTGGACTCTGAGGGTTTCGTGTCAATGGTACGCCTGCAAGGAAGACAGGAAAATGTCTTCTAACACCGAACCCCAGGAGCCGCCCTCCATCGCGCGACCGTGAAGCCGCCCGAAGACCGGCTCAGGAACACCTGGCGCAGAACTTGGAACGGCAGACTCAAGGAGCAAGAAACAACACATCCGATCTCTGGTGGTGAGATCTTGTATTTTTGCAAGCTGAAAAGTCTCTCGTCTGACTGTCCTTTGATCACCAGTGCTGGGGCTACTTCAAAGAGTCATCCTGACTATCGGACAGCAGAATCATGTCGTTTAACTGCTCTTGCACTTTGCCAAAAGCAAAGCTTCGCGCAAGGGGGGAGCTTCCTGCAAGTTCATGTGGGCGTCCCCAGCAACAAACTCACGTCACAAGCTTCCAAACGAAAGGAGCTCTCACCTCGATTGCAGAGGAGCTAATTAATCATGAATGATGAATCATGACAATTTGCCTAGTAACCAAAAAAGTAACCAGTGAGGCCCCCTTAGTTTAGTGAACTTGAAGTTTCTGAACATGGCTTCTTTGAGGATCGCCACCCTGCCGCATCATTCCACCACTCTCTCTCCCTCTGTCCGGCTCCGCTCCTAGCTCCACCCGGACGTGCCGCGACCTGACCAGGAAGACAAAGCAGAGGATTCGCCGCCGACCGCCCTAGTAGCGATGGCCTCCAACCTACCAGGAATGGCCTCCACCCTAGTAGCGATGGCCTCCATACCGACTCTGCAAACATCCACAAAGCCAGATATCGATCGCCTGAACTTACTCCACGACACGCCATGACACGCCACTACCTGCCTGCGGGTCGCCGACGCTCTCTGCGACCTCGGCGCATGAAAAGGTGTCCAAGCCGGTGACCAAGCCTTTATACAGGAGCAATACAAAAGAGAACTCTCTTTTTATCCTTTGTCTTTGTTATGTTGTTCCAAGCTTCAATAGTAGTATGTACAGTACACGTTACATCAGGTTGCAATGGTCCAATGTTCAGAGAAACAGCCTTCCCCAAAGTGACACGTCCTTTCAAGGATCACCACTGTTGACGCCCAGGGGTCGGTTCACACCTCTTTTACTCTTTTCTTTCCCCAATACAGAGCGAATCTATAATCCTCAGAATTCCGAAATGCCATGACTTTCATGGGTTGTATCATCATCTCTCAAGCCCACCCCAAGCTAAGCCCAGCTGTCACCAAGTGGCCATTCCATCCGCCCGCTTGGCCGTTGCCCCTCTGGCCCTGGTCGCACAGAGTGCACTTGTTGGGACCGATCGCGTCGGCTGGGATCCAAGGAACAACTCCTTCTTCCTCCAACCAACGGTTTGTCTAGTAGCTTCTTGTTACTAGTAAGAATGCTCCTAGTAGCGATGCCAGGAGCCCCTAGTAGCGTCCTTGCTCCTAGTAGCGATGCCCTTGGCTCCTAGTAGCGTCCTTTGCTCCTAGGTGGGTTTTGCATGGTTTTTCCTCCCAACTGCCCAAAGTAAACTAACTGTGAAATTGATCACCCTGACGGTCGGAAAGCCTAAACAGCGGCAGTTGATTCGCTCAATACCATCATCGCGGTGTTTTTTTACTTTTATATAGTTTATTGGGTTGGGCGAACAAACAACAAGCTCAACAGTTCATTTTTGAGTCCAAGATGGGTCGCACCAGAAGCTGGTTCGTCAAAAGCGCTTCAGGAAGACGCAACTACAATGCAAAACCAGGTGTGAGACCTCAAAATGCACAAAGGCTCTTTCCACTATCCGGAATATCCAAATTCCTTGACCCCAAGTGGTACAGCAACTCCTCCTCCCATTGTGGGCTCCCGCACCCACCAGCGACTGTTGCCTCAGCCCGAAGGGGGACTGCGGTGCTACCGCTCATGGAAAAAATGCCTCAACTGGTGGGGTGGCCCAAGATCTTCACTTGGACATCCAGAGTCTGTAGGGTCTAGAAACAAAACGTCCCAAAACATCCCAAAACAACCACCAACCTCCAACTTCAGATTGTGTTTCTTAAGACTCTTGGGGGCACCAACTAATCAGAAAACGCGCTGGAACTCCTGATCTCTTGTTAGCAGTGAACTGATAGCCCAGCTTGTGATTGCCCTCTTTTCTTTCAAAACATGTCAAAACCAAAATCCAGGTATCTGGTCAATTGGTTGGTCTCCACAGCCCTGTTCGTCCCCTTCCTTTGGGATCCGGACCCCAGTCATCCCAGCTGTCCTGGAGAAAATGCTAGGCCGAACAAGAAAGCGTTCGACTTCCGTTTCGACTTCCGGAAAGCCTTCGAGCACGGTGGTCGCGAAAACTTCCACGGAGCGAAAACACCATAGGGACCAACCAGAAGTTTCGTGGAGTTGTTCTAGAAAATTTGTTCCTAGTAGCGTCCTTGCTCCTAGTAGTAGGGCCAGGAGCCCCTAGTAGTCCTTGCTCCTAGTAGCGATGCCCTTTGCTCGTAGTAGCTTCTTCAATTACCTTCCAAGTCCACAATGATCAAAATGAACTTCAACTTCACTCATGATTGATGCCAATGGAAGGCCCACAAGCAGGGCTGACATGAGGAAAACCGGACCGTTCGCCAGCAACCTCTCCTGTTGTGAGGACCAGCTGTTGTCACCTCCAAGCGCCGAAGCGATGGAGATCGGTCTGCAGGGGGGCGGCAATTCCTTCGTTGGAGAAAAAGGGTCTGGTGGAAGGAACCCAAACGACACAGGCTCAGCTCACTAGGCTCACGATGGTCTGGTGACTGCCAAAACAGTGTGGCATCGTTCAAGCAGAACCTGCGCAAGGTATCGCAATCCCCAAAAAACACACAGTGTCACTCCAAGGACGCCACCATACCATTGTTGCTCCTGGCAGAAAAAGTGTTGGCCGCACTGCGCAAGTGGAGCTTTTGATGGTTTGATCAGAGGTCAGGCAGATGCTAATCTGGGAATGGATGTACTTCGGGGCATCTCAAAATTCTCCTGATTGTATATCTTTTTGGAAGACAGCCTACCATGCGGGGCGGTCAAGCGGTCCCCCAATACATGGACAAAATGAAAGGCAAATTTGAACGGGTCACTTTTCATCACTTCTCACTTTTTCTGAACTGAGCTTGGGGGGTCACTGTTTTGTGATTTCCCAAGCAAGACTTGCGGACGGACCTAGGCACCTACTCCGGACCAACTCACCCTGCTTCACCGGACCAACTCGACTTCGGTCCTCCCAACTCTGCTTGGCACCGTTGGTACCTCACGGCGGGTTGAGACGAGTCCAAAGCACAAATACGGCTGTGAACACCGTAAACGATGAGTGAGTCAGAAGTGGACGTTCAAAAGGGAGGGGAGGCAGCACAAATGTGTTGAAACAACACTACACGAAAGAGCTGAACATGTTTGATCGGTAGGGAATCGACTTGACTCTGCATTTCTAGCCCTCCAAAAGGGCATGGCTCAACACGACACATTCATCTGATATCCCTCAAAATTCAAGAAGCTCCCCCCCCGCCACCTTTAGGGCAGTGGGGGGAGAGCTATCCTGTGTCCTACCTAGAAGCTAACTTTTGCTAGCTTATCTCCTTGCTTAATTAGGTAAGTAGAGGCGGGAATAAAAATACAAAAAGCTACAATCACAAATTCTCACAAATGCTTTCTTCTTTTTCAGCCTCGTCTGTGATCGGCCGAAGTCGTGAGTGCTTTGCTGAAAGGAGTGCTGCCGGTCCAAGGTCCACAAGACTGGTGTTTTGGTGCGGTTTTGACGAGATTAGGCCCCAGTTTGCCAAGCTCTGGTGCTGTATCCCGGAACAGCAGGATTGTGAACTCGATCCCCCTATAGGGATTCTACCTCATTCCACCCCAATTGACCAGAATTTACTCTTCCCAATCACAGGGTGCCATCCAACGTAACCAAATGCGACCGGTCGGTAACATTCACTCCACTGACCCCTGAGATGCTGAGATGCCGTTGTAGGATCCACTCTTGCGGACCTCCTTCTCTTTGGTGTGGGACTTCTCCTGGAAGCATCCCCCCTTCACCCACGAAACAGTATCACGGCAACCACTGCAAGTGTCGCTGCTCCCGGTGGGGATTGGGCGCCACTAGCCCCGCCGTCAGTTGTCAAGTGGTGGAAGGACCAATGTGAACCTGTTTTGGGATCTTGTTGTTTCGAGTGCTACTCTGTCTCTTGTTGATTCATAAGGCGGCCGCCAACCTGCTCTGTTCAGCAAGGAGGATATATAGATCATGGCGAGCCCACAGTTTTTCCAAGACACATCCATGTTTAGGCCAGAATTTTCTCATCGTGAGGCAAGCCCATTTCTTCAGGCAAACCCAGCTGCCACTCATCGCCCAGTCCTCGCCAGATTTTCTTCGACCATTTCCTTTGCCACCTGCCCAAGAGCAGAATGCTCGTACCACGAAGGAAAATCAAGCTCAGAAAACAGTCGAAAACAGTTGTCGTCTTCTCTTTACTCAAGAGTTACTTTTTCCTTGAGAAGGCAGTTTCTCTTTGCTGAGAGACTGTGGCTGGATGCAAGAAAAGATGCAAGAAGGATGCAAGAGGGCCGGAGTGTTGTTCCTTGCGCAACAATTGTTTCACATCAGCACATCACCCTGACACATCAGCCACCAACAATAACAACAATAACATCGCATCGCCACATCAAATACCCGACAAATTGCAGAATCTTCCTATGGCTCTATCTTTCTTGAAAACATCCACCTCCCGGATCCGGCCGAGATTCTCTGGGAAAACTAGTATGATAAAAAAAAAAAGAAAGATGCAACTTCAATTAGCAGACATCACAGAAAATGAGAATAACATTATAGGTTGTGATGATTCAAGTTTGGTCACCGTCAACCTTACCCTACGTTTTGGGCCCTATCGTGGCCTCTTGGTACATGGCCGATCAAATCGCACATAGCAAAGGTGATTGAATTTGAATTGCACACTATGTGGCTCCCCAACAGGCACAGTGGATACTCGCAGGGTGGTATTGGAAGGTCATGAGTCATGTTGCTTTATCAAGAAGATACCGGAGAAACGTCGCTGGTCAATGTTAAGATGAAGAGATTGGACTTGGTACATTCTAGACATGGACTGATATATGTTTGAAAGATCAACTCTTCAGCCCCGGCAGTCATACAATTCATCCCTTGGAGCAATCACAAGAATTCGTTCCTCTTCCCTTACGGATAGAAAAGGTGGCGCCATTAGGTTGGAAATTAACCTAAACTAAAGAAATTCACCCTAACAACTCCCCACCCTGCCCACCTCCCATTTTGGGCGCATGCTCCTGGAGGTGTGGACCACCAATGATCAAGGGAGGCACAGCGTCTTCAGGCCAAAACACATAGAAATAGCAAGTGATTGTGGAGAGGTGTTCACCCCAAAGCCTTCAAACCAAAAGAGTGGAAACAACAGCTTTGTCTGGAGTGCATGCATTGTTTTTTTGACTATGTTCTTGTCTCGTTTGATTCCGCACTTGGTCAGACCAATTTGAAAAAGCACGAATTGTGCAAGCGATGCTACCATTGTGAACAAGCATCACTCGTGTTGCAATGCAGGCTGCCCGCGTTGTCCTCATCCTTCTTGGCCTTCGCAGGGGGAACCTGTCAAGATCGCATATCGCCAGGCAGACCATCGAAAAGACTTGCAAACATGGATGGCCATCGGGAGAAATATCGTTCCATACATCCATTCATTGGCAGCCCCTAGTAGCGTCCTTGTTCCTAGTAGTAATACAGTTTTCGTGCAGCCAACTTCGACCGCACTTCCACCCAGCCTTCGGCTCCGGCGCCTTCCTGAGACCGGTGAAGGGGACATCGGGGGGTCAGCGGCAAGGCAAGAAATGCTCGTGGGCAACAAACAAGCCCCACAGTGTCTGCACGACATATTCGGTTGGAAATACTCCTGCAATCCAGTTCATCTAACTTTCAATGTCACGGAGTCTGGGGTACCAGACTTCGCATCCGCCTCAGCAAGTCATTGCCAAACTCATGATGACTAGCAGCCTCACCGCCCTGCCTGTCTTTAGGACAAATGATCAGGTATAGATTCAAGCTCTCGGAACTCAGAACCTACAAATATTCGATGAATCTCGCTCAACATATGTCGACTGCTGCTACCCTTTTCTGCGACTCGATTCAGGTCTGCACTGTCTGTACTAAAGTGCTTTGGTTCGAAATGCGACCCACGTCGCTTGTGTCATCTGACATCTGACACTCTCCCTGTGGGAGCACTCCATCCGGTCCTACGGCCACAACGGATGCCAGCTCTGGACAGAGCGATGAAAAGATTAAATGAAACTCCCTAGTCATCGTCAATACCTGGGACCGACAGAACAGGTATGATGGCTAGGCGGCGGGCAGCCGGAAAAGGACAACCGGACGACAGCGGCAGACAGCACAATCCCAATCTCACGTGGCCGGCAGCCCAGGCTGCAAGCGTCACAAGCATAGCCGTGGTAACTGAAAGTAACCCGGAATACGGCCATCAAGCACCAGCAAGGCCACAGGTGAAGCGACTATCACCAGGTAACCAGACTCTTCCGGCAACAAGCCAAGTCAGCCACCAGCTCGACTAGCACCAGGTGGACATGAAAGTAACTAACAGGGTGTGGCAGGGTGAGAGAAAAAGTTTAGCTTGAGGTACCAGCAGCGACACTGCTCCTCAAGGGGCGTCTCCCCAGTTTGGCTTGAGCATTCAAACATTGGGAGACGTTGATTCGAAGCTTCCCAAATAATTCATCATCACCGACCCTGCCTACCTTAAATGATTGAATATATTCGATGAATCTCGCTCAACATATGTCGACTGCTGCTACCCTTTTCTGCGAATCGATTCAGGTCTGTACTGTCTGTACTAAAGTGCTTTGGTTCGAAATGCGACCCACGTCGCTTGTGTCATCTGACATCTGACACTCTCCCTGTGGGAGCACTCCATCCAAGGCACTAACTTATCCAAAGCACTCAAACGAACTGAAAGACCTGAGCGATGAGGTGGTAGGGCAGCTGGAGGAGCATGAGCAGGGGGTAGGTGTGGAAGAGACGAAAATCATGTTGTTGGAACCACGGGTCGTGTTCTCCCTGTCTGCTGATGCCGTCTGACCAGTTGTCCTTACTCTGGACCCATTCAAAGTAGCATGCACTACGGCGTGCAAACAGAAGGCCATGGATGGCTCCGGCCATAGAATCCAGCTCATCGTTGTTGCTGCGGCCTCGTATGAGAGCCATGAGGGCAGCGATATTGTCAACAAACCATATACCATGCATTCCGCGAACTGATGAGGCATTATATGCCAGGCCCATGTAGACTGTCAAGAGCTCAAGCTGTGCAATCTTGGCCTCATGATGGGACCACACCGTGAAGATCTTTGGGCTGATGTGGACGACATAGGCCCTTCGGTTACCACGGGGGTCAATGAACAAGACTCTCGCAGAGCCCTCGCGGGGCCTATCTTGCGCTGCATCGGATGCTGCCAAGTATCGGTGTTGCCGTACTGGATTGAGCGGTAATTCTCTTTCAGGCTTCAACTGAAGTAGAGCTCGAATTCTAGCAAAGGACTGTTCAATCTCCGGTGTCATCACGACTTGCGAGGAGTATTGTCTTTCCTTGATGCTATGGAGGCCCGACCGGCCGAGCTTGCCGAAGCATCCCGTCGTCAAGAAGCCCAGGCAGCCAAAGAGCTTGGCCGCCAGTCCCGGAGGGAGGCGACGCGTCTGAGTGGCCTCCTCCATGATGTCGGTGACCTTGGTGAGCAATCGGTCCCGGACCCAGAACTTGACAGGATCACCCCGGTGGCAGGCAGCCACGTCATGGATCAGCCCCAGAAAATCAGACTGAGCCGCCAAGGCATCGTGCCAGGTCATTAACGAATGCCTGGCCAGTGCCGCCCATGATACCGAAGTCCTGGATTGTCAGGTCATCAAAGTACATACTGGTCATACAATATGCCAGGCGGCGGCAGGCAGCTTGAAAGAACCGGGGAAATCGATTGAACGAACACACAGCATTTGGTAACCCGAACAGAGAACCGTAGTATTGTCGAAAACGGGGGCCACCCACGTGGTGGTCGTAGTATGCCACCACGGCCATGTTGCCATGTGTCGGCTTCATGGGGACATAGCGGTAGGCGTTGGGTAGGTCTTCGCCCCCGGACCAAATACCAGCTTGCAACAACTCAGACACGTGAATCGACGAGGATGCTGCCTGCCAGAGCAATTGAACATGAAGGCCAGGTTGAATGCTCGTACATAGATCCAACTTGTTCGCATCCGAGCTGAGTGCACTCTGCCCTCCGTCTGCAGCGTCATCTATGACTCGCAACTTACCCGAGGGCTGTTGTATACAAAACCTCCGGATCAGCCTGAATTGGGGGAGGTCCTGGCATAGCTGGGCCCATGTCATTGGGGGGCCACAAAAGCCTTTGGCTTGGTCTTCCTCACCCGCCTGGGCAATGGCCGCGTCGTGTTCACCTGGGCGGAGGCTTTGGATGATGCGGGCAGCCTCTGGCAGGGCGTCCTGGTAGATGGAGGCGTCCGGGATGTAGTGAGCTGGTTGAGCCTTGTACACGGGCACATGCGGGAAAAGCCTACGGCAGGGAAACCATATATCAGGTTAGCCACGAACGTAGTGTCTGGCCATCCAGTAATCAGCATGATAAGCCCAATCAGGGCGATGTGGCGCCCTTGAGTGGCGGACCGCACGGGCGGTGGCTGATAAGTTTGGAGGTGGTATGTGATGGGCCACATTCGACGGCTCAGTTCTTGGAGCCAACGGCCTGTACGTCTCCTCACCTCCCGCAGGCCCACTCCCTGGGCTGCATAGCCAGATGCGGCAAAGATCAAATCATCATCGACAACACCCATAGTTTCAAATGGGGTGGGTCTCTGTTGCAACTCAAGTGCGAGTTCAAAATGTCGCTCCTCCCCTACGCCAAAGGGGATCATAGGCGGTAAGGCTTTTGCAGCAGCAGCCGCTCCGGGCTGCTGAAGGCCGCTCATCGCAATGGCGTTGCGCTCCAATGGGCCCACCAACCGTGGACCAAAGGCGTGTCCGTCCCAGTCCGGGCGGTTCTGCATGTAGTTGAGCCATTGGTAGTGCGAGTCATCCACTAGCAGGTCTTCGAGCATAGGCCACTGGAATCCCTCCCAACTGATATCTGGACAAAGGGCCATGAGGCTGGCCACCACAACCTCCTGAGAGAAGCGCAACGGGACTGCCCTGGCAGGGCGAATGCCGGCTGCAATGAGTGAAACCCGTCGCAACTGTTCCCGAGCGGGATGGCCGTGGCCTGAGGTCGAAGTAGGACGTGAAGTAGTCCAAACCAGAGCACGAATGATATCGCCATGACATAGCACGTTGTGGGGGCAGTCGCACACCAGCGGCGTGCCATGTAGGGATGGGAGGTCAGCCAGCAGATGGTCCTGGTCGGCGATCCATCTGGCGTAGTGAAGGACACTCTCAATAGCAGTCCTGCCTTCCCCTGTCCGGAAGGGGTTTTGCCACTGTGTCAGTGGCCAACAATGGGAGAAATGCCCTGGGCCGATGTACACGTCCATGTCTGTGAGTTGTGACCTCAGTTGCAACACATCGAATGCGACTTGGCGAGTGGGCACATGGGACGAGTCTTCTCGTGGTGGTGTGAGGCCCAGGTGGAAGCCCATGACATTCATCAGATCCTCTCGCAGCTCGGACGGTTCGAAATGGAGCAGTGGTCGTACGTCCCCTGAGGTGTTGATGGGCGGTAACCTTGGGATGGCGAGGACGCCGTAGCCCTGTCGCGCCGCCCATGCCGTGCAGCATACTGCTAGGGTGAAGACCAAACTAGGTGTGTACTCCGCTTCGTTGAAGGTGGAGAACTGCCCATTACCCGACGAGCGCCACTCGTTGGGGTCATGAATGTGTCCACATCGAACGGCCGGAAGGGAGGCCAACTCGGGGATGTTGTGACGAAACTTTTGGGCTTTGCGCCGAGCGCCTCCGAAGACGCATGCATCGTAGTCCAAATCCTGCCAATCGTCCTCCTGGCACAGGTACTGCTCAACCGGGTCCCACCAGTGCAGAGACCTGAGCGGGTTCTCGCGAAGACATGCGATGTTCTGTTGATGTCCCCAGTGTTGTAAAGCCAACAGGTAATCACTGGAGTAGTTGTCAGCGTCGACCCGTGCCTGTTGTCCCGCGTCCAGTCCTGGTAGACCCTGTGGGTGTTCCTCGGATCGTAGAGGAGGGGGACCGGGCCGTTTCTCCCTAGCTCTTGATTTGGTAGCACAACTCATAGCCCCCGCAATAGTGGCCACCCGAGGGAGCACCGCCTGAATAGCCCGACGGACCGCCGGACGCGACACGTCCAGGTCCTGATCGATCTCGATGTCAATCGGTGTGATGATCTCCCATTGGCACCACAAGAAGGCCTTGGACAACGGTGCATGGACTCCACTGAACACATCAAGGAGGATGGGGCAGGGTGAGGCTTCAGTCTGGTGCATATCAATGGACTCCAACTCGGCCAAAAATGAACGGAAGTCATGAAAGACAGGAGTGTCCAAAGATTGGCCTCGCCCCCCCCCCAAGAGAGGAGCGGCCCTCTTTTCAAGCAGCCTTGGGGCATCCTGAAGGTGAGTGCTGGTACGATCCGCAGACCCGTCCTGACTGCAACACGACTCCGCAGCGGTGCGCCCCACGTGGGCAGTTCTTCTTGGTGCGGCACTGATTGCGCTGGTAGGCCTGACAAAGCTGCGTGCCATCACGAAGAATGGAAACCACCGACCCCACCGGCCCTGCATCCGCGGGGGGGGCCTTGGCGGGCGACGCGCCGCCAGCAGCGGTACCCGTGGTGAGGCTGGGGGCTGGCAGGGCCCCGGCCAACCAAAGGGCGTCACGCTCCCGCATGATGGCACTGATAACATTGCCAAGTGTCGTGTGGCCCGTGCATCGGGCTGCCCATTGACCGCGCTCTTCCACATCGAGGTGTTGGACCAGCTGCAGGCGCCTCCCCTCCGAGGTGCGCAGAATCAAATCATGGCAGCGGCTGGAGTAGGACAGCAGGATGTCATAGGCGACCTGGACGTATTGCACACTGTCTGCACCGAGCGACTCAGGCGCAGACGGCGCCGGCTCCACGGGGCGACACCCCACAATAGCCAGGGCCAAGAAGTAGGTGTCCATCTTGGCCATGTAGGAGAGCCAGGACTTGGCGGTGATCTCGTCCTCGTCATCCTCTTGGAGGTACAAGTTGCCCGTCAGGCGTCGCCGCTTCTGGCTATGTGTGCGCTGGAAAGTGAGTGAGCGGACCGTCCACAGATCCATGACCTCGAACTGGCTTCGTGTCAGCTGTCGGCTGAGCTTAGACAGCAGTCGGTCAGAGGGATACTGGCGAGGTTCTGGACGCAAGTGGTAGCGTCGAAAGAAAGCCTCTTTCAACTGCTCGAGCTCCTGTTTGGGAAGCAGCGTCTCTTCTTCCGTTGGCGCTGGAGGCAGGCTGGCCGCTGCGTGCTCGGAATCCAACAAGGCCTTGCACGCCGTCCAAGCGAAGCGCAGCCGAGCAGCCTGGAGGCGCCCTTGCATCTCCTCATAGGGTGGATCCTTGGTTGTATCGATGAAGAGCTTTTTGATTTCATCCTCACTGCGGGCGTAGTGGCGGAATTCTGCAATGGTGCGAATCCCCAACTCAATGATCTTGTCTTTGATGCGCTGCTCGAAATTGAACTGCAGCGCAAGAGCGGTGAAGGTGTCCTCCGGCGTAGCAAGCTGCTTAGGGACGGTGGCCATGATCCACAACAGAAGATGGTGGGAGCAGCGAACACTGGAGAGCAGAGATGGCTGCGGAAGATCGCAGAAGCGAAGAGTGGACAGAATCTGCTAACATAAAGCAAAGAAACAGCGGGTAGCAAATGGAGCACCGCACAGTGTCAACCCTTTTTCAAAAACTCAAAGTCGTTCATGGCATGACTACTGAAGCCGCTTTGCAAGCTCCCCGAGCTCCAAGCTCAGGCATTGTAGCGCTGGCCAACTGATGGCCTCGCCTGCCGCGTGGGCCTCGTAGTGGGCAGTATAGAGCAATTGACGGAACGAAGCGCGATCGGCCTCATGGAGACTGTCATGGTGACGCGCCAAATCATCACATGTAGTGTGGACCAGTGGGGCGTAGGGAGGCAAAGTACCAGGTCTCGGGGCCGCCGGCCACAACAGCCCTTCCAGCCTAGGCTCTGGGCGTGCTGCCTCCCTGGGCAGGTCTTGGATCTCATCCCACCATTCGATCCATGATTCACATAGGTTCCGTGCAGCGCGCAGCTGAACCTGTACCACCCCTAGACAAGAGGTGGAGGTCGGGGGAAGGGCCATCAAGGCCCGACAGGCCTGGTCCATTTGATCCCCTACCTCCCAAGCACGGGCCCGTCTGGCCTCGCCCTCCAAGGGCGTCAGTGTCACGGCAACGAACTGGATCGCCTGAGGCCGGTCCATTGGCGCAGGGTATGGTCGTGTAGGCCGGAGTTCACTGGGATACGAGACGCTGCAGCAAACATGCAAGAACTGACTGTAAAATTCGATCGAGGTTCAGACTAGGGACCTACTCCTCGGGCCGTCCGCCGAGTCCCCATGAGACAAAACTTGCATAGCACACGAGACGCCCTCTCGGCCTACCCGGTAGGCGTGCTGTTTCCGAGGACTGCAGTTATTAGTACAAGTGGACCTGGGCATTGCCAGGGAGCACTGCTTTACATGTGATACAGAAATCACGCCCATAGGCCAAGGCCTCATGAATGCTGCGAGCTCGGTGGACTTCGCCTCGATAAGCAGCATTGCGCTGGCGCCATCTGCACCAGGGCGCGTTGTCACGCTCCACATGCCAGTGTGATCCTGCTTTGGTAGAGGTAATGAAGGAAATCGGATACCTCGGCAGGGCCGGTGGGGTGATGTGGACCTGGTTCCGTGCCCATTTGAAGATATCAGAGCCGCCCCGCCGGCTGAGCACACCAGCTCGGTCGATAGCCCGCAAGCCCTCCAGTCGCGAATATGCTTCCTCGAAGGAGCACCGCCGGATCCATGCAAGTAGCAAACCAGCCAACACAGGGGCCCTGTGCACCCCCGCCATGCAATGAACCAGAACGGAGTAGCCTGAATACAGGGTTGCCAGAAAGATAGGCAGCACCAACTTCAACTGGCGGTCACGTAGGGCTCCTTGATGACCAACAGGAACATTGACTTGGTAGACCTGGCGAGCACTGACCCCTCCTCGACAGTCGGCGGCAATCTTGTCCATAGCGCTGAGGCTCATGCCGATGTGGTGGGCCTCCAACCAGGCCCGGTCCGTGGGCAGACCGCCCAAGTAGATAGAACCATTGCCTGCTTCGCCCAGGAAGATGAGCGTGGGAGGCTCTGGGGCACCGCTGTGCCCGGGCCGGCGCCAGCGTTCCCGTGCCGCTGCATCGAAGGCCGCATCATTCGCCTCCTGCAGGTGCTGAGGCCGCTCTGGCGACGGTTGCAGCACTGAGGGCATGGCCTTGACTTTGGGGGTCGAAGGTGGCGTGCTCGAAGGAACTGCCGCTGTTGAAGATGAAGATGCCCGAGGTGAAGTCGATGGCAAAGGTGGTGGTGCCCGCAAAGATGGAATAGATGCCGAAGCTGATGAGGGCGAAACCACAGGCAGCACAGGTGGCACCTTCGGCGGAGGTGCTTTGGGCGGCGTCACCGGTTGGGCACTACCGCCGGCAGCAGCCCTGGGCGGCGGCTCCACCCGTGCCCGCTTCGCCGGCCGCGAGGGACTGGTGAACGAAAATGTTGACACCGTGTTCCTCGGCCCCTGTGTGGGCTCAGGCACCGGGCCGGCAGCCACGGCTGGGGCCGGGCGCGTCCGCCTGAGCGCAGCAGTGAGGCGTTGACCAGTAGCGCGAATGATCTGGACCTGGGCCGGCAGCAAGGTCTTGACCACGGGCATGCCAGGGATGGAGTCGTAGAAACTCGGCGGATCTGGGGGTCCGAAGCGAGGAGCTCGTCAGCCTCCTCCATGCAAGTGGACCATCGGGCAGAGGCATAGCCTGTCGGCAGTTCGTCCCACAAAGCCATGTTGAGGTCCTGGAAGAAGTGCAAACCAGCCAAGCGTAACTGGTGTCCCAGGCGTTGTTTCCGCGAGTCATATCGCAGAGGGGTGGTAGACGTAGACTTGGAGGACTGATCCACCCATTGTCCAAGAGCAAGTCGCTCTGTCTCTGATAGCCCCACATACCCTGCCAAAGTCGGAAGCACGCGGCGGAACGAGTAGGACGAGAGGCTGGTAACGTCCATAGCTGCACTCAGGTAGGGGCGCAGGATCCGGACACATTGTGCTGTACCCACCGGCTGGGCTGTAGCCGAGTCGAACCCCAACCAATGCCAGCGCCTGAAGCCGGCGCCTGTTCTGGGGCGCACTTTGTTCAAATGGGCAGGTCCAACGTGCCACAATACCTCGGAACGCTCCAGGCAAAGCCACCACGACTGCCAGTCTTACCTTTTGTGCACCAGAACACGAGGATGCCCCCGTTACCGCCGACCAAGTAGCTCCGTTGCAAATGGGTGTACCTGACCACACCAAAACATAGGGCGTAGGCACAAAACACCATGGGCCAGTGAGGATTGTCAACGGTGGATTCCAAGGTACCCAACAGGTGGATGACCATAGATGGCTCCAAAGTCGCCGCCTGCGCCTGCCCCTGACCGAGGCGAGATCCCAAACCAGCCCGAGGTTTCACCACTTCGGAGAGGTCAAATGGCAACTTGAGGTTGCGGACGATCCATCCTAGAGCGGTATATGCCCTTGTAGGGGACTTGTGCTCCCGAATGAAGGTGGCCAGGAGGTGTTTGTCCGGGATACCTCCACCTGCGGCCGCAATGACCCCTTGAAGCTCTTGCCACGTGTGCAATGCCCGCTTCACAGTGGCGGCCTCCGCCTTCTGGAGCACATGCTTGAGCTTGGCCTCGAAGTTGGCGGTGATCTCAGCCAAGCGAGCCGCCGGCGGGGGCTCTACTGCCAGAAGAATGGCCATCAACTGAGGCAGAAAGGTCAAGGCACCGCCGTCAGGGCCGCCCGACTGACGGCCCTGGGCGCTGGGCCTGACTGGCCCCGCAAACGATGGGGTAGGTCGTGGCCTCAACGGTGGCGATGTGGTAGGCCGCGGCGCTGATTGCGAAACTTGTTCACGACGAACGATGTCTCGCACCAGGGCTCCAGCGCCCAGCTCCGCTTCGCGGCGCGCCTGGTCCCAGGCATCCGCCACCGCGCGGCCCTGCTTCAGCGCTTCTTCGTAGGTAACGAAGTAAAACGCTAAGTCGGAGGGCCTTTCAATACCATGGGCAGCGCACCACCGCTCCAGCTTCTGCTGTTCAGCAGAGCGGCGGATCTGCTCGTCAGCGCTGGCCATGGCGTCCGAACCGGGAAGAAAAAGTTTAGCTTGAGGTACCAGCAGCGACACTGCTCCTCAAGGGGCGTCTCCCCAGTTTGGCTTGAGCATTCAAACATTGGGAGACGTTGATTCGAAGCTTCCCAAATAATTCATCATCACCGACCCTGCCTACCTTAAATGATTGAATATTCTTCACAAGCCAAGGGAGCTCTTGGATCTGTCAGCTGGAGGCAGCATACTAAATCAACAGAGCCCCTATCTGGGAGGAGCTGGAAAAGTATGTGCCTTTCTTGTATGAATATGTCCTCTACTGAGTGTGTTTGTCCAGTCCTTAAAACGATATATAAATGCCCACACCTAATCAGCTCTTCCCTTGTGTGCGTGAGCACTTGTGGAATCGAAAGCCCTTCAACTTGAGGAATTACTCTACTGACTCCGGGCAACTCCGTTGCACCCGGGCCTCAAGCGCCCCCGAAGCCTTCTTGTCCTGGGCGCGGGTGATAGTTTGGTGCCAAGTGTTTTCTTGAAACTCTGAATGCTTCAGAACCGTAACTAGTTGTGGGCACCACCAATGGAAACAGCATGAAAAACAACAAAATTGCAAGTTAGTCTGAGTTCTTGACCTCTTGAGGGTCACTGTTCCACTGTTCCACCAACGCATGACCCATCACCCACCCCACATGGCCGGAGCTCCGCACCTTGCGCTGCTGGCTGACCCGAAGCTCGTCGGCGGTTTTCTTCAGCGTCTGCCGCCTGAGAGGGTCATCCCAAATTGATCCCTTTGCCCCAAGTTCACGTATCCCCAAGCGATATGGTAGCATCTGTCTGAGCCCATGAAAATTGCCCCAAAGATCAAACGGTATTGTCATGCATCGCGACTTTCCCACCTAAATCGCTGTTTTTTTGCGGAAAGCCCAGCAGTGCATTCTGGAGCCTAGCAGTCCATCCCTGCAGGCAACTCCAATAGTTTGCCCTGCAACGTCGGATCGAACCAAGATCCGAGAGGCCCAAGATTGTGGAGGCCAGTCGTTGGCTATGTTTCTTGCAGCTTAGTTCAGCTGTGGGCTGTAGGCGGGATAGCTCTACCTCTGGTTGGGAAGGGAGGTGTTTGTTGCTTGGTTTGGCTTCTGATCAAGTGAAACGGTGAAACCCTCATCAAGCCCACTTTACTTGCCGTTTTCTGCTTCATCTGTCGCGTTTTGCAGAAATCCCAAGATCAAAGCTGTCCGCCCAAGCCTTTCCAGCCCCGAACCATGGTCCCCGGCAGCCGCCTGTGCTCGAGAAAGTCCTCCAGGTCTTCCACCACCTGCAAAGAGCACAGCTGGTTCAGCTGGGTTGGCCAGGGATCGGCATCCAGGTCTACCTCTTCCACACTAAACAGCTGGTCTGCCTGTCTGCCTGTGTTGAATATTACCTAGCAAAAGCAGGAAACCATTAGATCCATTAGGAACACCGATCAAAAGACATCTGTCCAGATCTTCTTCCCGCCTATCATCCCCCATCACCCACCACCCCCGCAACAGCTCCTCCGGCCCAGCTACGAAGCCGGCCTCGGCTTCCAGCTCGTCGTCCACGATGAAGGTCTCCTCCAAGGGATCAGCCGTCATGGGTTATACCCTTGAAATAAGGTTATATGCGAGCTTTTCTCGAACCTCAAAGGCCTGTATGTCGGTTGTTTGTACAGGTCGTTTCAAGGTGCGGAGTCAAGTGGCTTTGTTTACGCACTCCTCCTTGCTGGTTTGAGCCTTTAGCTCACATCAGCATCTCACCTTCACCATGGAACTTGATCGCTGTCTAAAAAGGGCATGTGTTTGTCCATGCGGCTGTACATCTCCATCTTCTGTTCATGATCACTTCGCTGGTTCAAATCGAACCACCTTCGCTCAAACTGCAGCGCATACTGCTTTGACCTGAGACACGATCTTGCTCCAGGTGTATCATACTGCATCACCTCTAGCATCTCTGCGTCTGTCAACCATCGTGTAGTCGGCATTGACATTGTTGGGTCTTCATATCTCCTCTCTTCACTCGGGTTGGCTCTTGATGCCCCCGGTCTCTCTTCTTCATCTTCTTCCATAGGTGTGGGTCCTTCTTCTTCACTTTCTGGCTCCCTCGGTTGTACATCACGTGCTCGAACTGTGATGATTTCACCTGAGTCCAGACGAACTTGTACTTCATCATCTGGATCATGGTCTTCACCCTCACTTTCAGCCTCTATCAAGGTGTTGTCCCTGACGTTCAAATGAAGTCTCGTTTGAACAGCATTGGCTTGGAGATAGCTTTTGATCTGCCCATCCAATCTCCTCATATCAAACTCTCTGTTGGTGTCCTCGATGTAGTTCCAATGCTTCCAATCTTCTTCACCGAACTCACTGTCATCGACATAGCCTGAGGCCTTGATCAGCCCCCTGTGAACTCGTTGCACATAGTTCTTGATCTTTGCCAATCCTTCTTGAGCTTCGTGACCATAAGCTCCAATCATCATGCCATTCACTTTCTCATCATCCGTCACACTCTGAAGCCTTGCCTCCATTCTCTCAAGCTTCCTCCAGAGCTTATAGATGAAAAGGATCAGCACACCAATCACCATGAACAAGATCACAATGAGCATGCTTGTCCATCCGCTGCTTCCATTTGCTTGTGTAGTCATGTCACCTTCACCTCTCTCTCCAGCCACGTGCTCAAGGCCTTCAAGAAGTAGAATCCGGTTTAGCAGCTTTGCAAGCCTCTGGATCTTGCTTTTGCTTACTGCTCTCTCTTCAAGGTTGTGGTGCTCCTCCTGGCCGATTCTTTCACCATCCCCATTGTAGATCTGGCACCAATGCAGAAGGAGATTCACCCTTGCTTTTGGTAGTGGTTTTGTGCCCAAATCTGCAACATTGGAAACCGTCCCCACTGCTTTGACTTCGAGGTCTCCTTGCGCCACCATGTCCTGGATCCATAGGAGTTTTCCTGCAATGTGCCGCAGTTTTCCCGGACCTTTTCTGTGACATAAGTGAAGCGCTGCGGAGTTGTCCACTAGGCAGTAGTGAGTGACCTCCTCCTCAACTAGGAACTCAAGACACCTCCTCAAGTAAATGCCATCTGCTGCTCCACTGACCAGTGCATTTAACTCGGCCTCCGCTGAGCTCAATGACACTGATTTCTGGCCACGCGAGCTGGCCAAGATGACCGCCCCATTCAGCATGTGAATTGCAGCTGAGGTTGATCTTCGATGTCCTTTGGCCCCTGACCAATCACTGTCAGTAAAGGTCTCCAACAGCCATCTTGTTGTCGTACTCCTTGTTGAATGTCCATGGCCAGGATCTGGATACGGCAGCAAACTGTGTTGTCCAAGTGTCCCCTTCAAATAGCCTACAAGCTTTCCCAACTTCTTCAGGCTTCCGGTGGTTGGTGCTGACATCGATGACGCAAGCTCTTTGATGGTGAAGGATACGTCAATCCTCTCCTGAGACAAGTAGATGCCACATCCGACCAAAGATCTGTACATGCTCGACAGCTCTGCATTCAGCAACGTTGTGCCATCAAACTCCAGCATCTCCGGTCCGCATGGCAGCTTTTGTATCTTCACTCGTCCTAGCTTCTCCTCATATTGCTCAACCATGCTCTCTGCATACTTTCCGGGCAAAATCTTGAGACCTTCATTCACTTGCTCGTAGGTCCTTCGTAGGAAGGTGAAAGTCGTGCCGTTGTCAGACAAGTGTTGCTCTGAGATGTCGAATCTCTTGCGGATGTCCGGGAGGAAGGTGTTCTCCATGTAGTGCTTTGCGCTCACATACATCACATCATCTACGTGGATGAGGACCATCATCTGTTCACCTTTCCTTCCCAGACAGGGATTGATGTCTGAGAAACTGAAGCCTCTCTCCTTCAGCCAATCCGTAAAGTAGTCGAACCATGCCTTTGCTCCCAAGCGCTGGCCTGGTAGGTTTCTCTTCACCTCATAGTACCCCCGAGCTGTCTTCACCTGAGTAGGTTCTTCTTGGGGTACCTGAAGAAAGGCATCTTTGACGTCCATCGAACCCAACCAGTAGGGCTCACCTCCGCTCTTCTCTTCCAGCTTCTTCGTGAGGTAGATGATGGGAAGAAGGCGTAGTGTTTGGCCTCCTGTTGCAGGACTGTGCACATCATCTCTTCTGTCCACAGCATACTCTCGTGCCACCAATCTTGACCTTCTGAGAAACTGCTTAGGTGAGCCTGGAAGATCTGGTCGAGGCTTCACTCTCCAGTCCCTCACGAACCGAGTTGTCAACCTTTTGAATCCAACCTTCTCCTCTTCCATGGCCTCCAGTACTCCCATGCTCAGAAGTCTCTGTTCTTCTACTGCATCGGCCAACTCATCGATCCAGAAGGGTGGATCCGGTGGCACTCTTTCCAAGGAAGCTGAAGACCACAGCTCTGCTGGTATCGCCACCTTTGAGTCTTCTTCTCCATCCCCTTCTCCACATGCTAAGATCTCCTCCTCTCCGAAGAACTGGTCCATGTGGTAGTAGGTATCCTGTCCAACTGCTGTTGCCTCTACTCTTCTCTCAACTTGCGGACCTCCTCCAGACGTCTTCAACCTCTTTGGCTCAGATAACTCCCCTTCACTCTCATGGATTGGTTTTGTTGGAGTCAACTTCAACCTCTTGGGATCTCCTGCACTTCCTTCCGCTTCCAAATTCATCTTCTGTGCCAAACTCCTGGGAGTAGTTACAGGAGCAGAAGGACCGGCTTGGTTGTTCTCCTCATCAATGCTGTTGGCATCTCGTGTCCTGATTTCTGGGACACTGACTTTCTCCTCTGCATAATCTTGCTTCTTTTCTTCTGCCAACTTTTGCTCCTCTGTCTGCCCTTCTTTCTCACTGGGCTGCTTATTCTCGACCTCCACCAAGTCCTTCACCTCCTCCAGCTTTCCAGCATAGGACTTGGAGAAAGCTATGATCTCGCGTGCATCATCATCATCAACAGCTATTCCCTTCGTCTCGGCTGTTGGCAGTCCGAGCAAAGGTCCTCCAACCATGGCTGCCACTCGCTTTGAAGGCACAATCCTGCCCCCAAAGTTCTGCTGGAACTCCCACGAGTAGGCTGTGAAGGCCTGATAGCAAGCCAGGTAGCGAGTGCTAGCATCTGCAACTCTCCTCAGGGACTTGCTCAGAAAGACTCTGTTCCCGTCTCCAATGACCCAAGCATCTTGTACCTCGGTCTTGCCAAGACAGATTCCAACTTTCCACCTTGGATCAGCTTTGAAGCCTTGCTTTTGCTTGGAATAAGCAAAGACAACCTCTCCAAAAGGGCATACCTTTCCCTCATAGGCTTTCCCGTGTGTGAGTTCGAAGCTTGTGGTGCCTCTCAACACTTGGTACCTGTTCAGCGTCCAAGCTGCGTGCCTACAGGCCCATGACCATAGAGGATGTTGGTGATGGAACCTGAGCCCGATCTTCTCCGCCAGACTCTCCATCATCGAAGCAGCTAGACCCCTGACTCTATGTACTGCATTCTCCGCCAAGGAATTTCCAGCTGAGTCGTAGAGTTTTGTTGTGCGCATTGTGGTCTTCAATCCCATTGCTGTCCTTGATGAAACCAGAAGACGAACAATCTGCCTGGCTGTCGGCTCATTGTCGCAGTAGTACTGTACCGCTTCATGTCCTAAGACTTGGGTGAATGCCAGCAACTCATGGGTAATGAGATTCATCTGGTTCTTCGATTTCAATGGGAGACCCAGCAAAGATCCGGTCTCTGAGCACACCGCAATCAGCCAAAGTGCACCACTTTCTTCATCATGGACACCCTCTTGGGCTTGGTCCTCCTCCTCGGCTCCCAAAGCCGCTGACCCTTTTGCTTTCACTTTGCAAAAGTCGAATGAGATGGTCGGGCATCCTTGATCATGCGACTTACCACTCCTCCGGTGTTGATCTGGTCGTGCACGATGCTTGATGCAAGCTGGACACCAAGGGGCGTAAGGGACGTGTGTCAGCTCGTGAGCTTTCCTCTCAGCTTCTGTTGGGACTTTAGCTGCCACCTGCTCAAGTGGGATCCTCTGCCCCATAGCTTGTCCTCTCGCAGCCAAATCTCTTGCCATCATCAACTCAAGCGCTCCTTGGTGGGCCACCAACCTGCTGAAGCACTTCTGCTTACCTCCACTCTGACCGATTTGGTAGAAGGCACAGGCTGCTCTCAGGCTCCTGAGTGGACTCTCCAGTGTCAAGGTCACATCGTTCACCCTGATCTCTTCCGGGACAGCCACTCCAACTTCATACTGGACCATTTGATCGTCCAGGTCTCGGCCCTGCTCCTGGTCTTCTCCTCCAGGAATCTCAGCTCCTCCAAGTTCCTCAAACTCATCATCTCCAGCCTGAGGGATTGCCAACTCTTCCATGTCTGGTTTGGGACCCAACTGAACTGCACTGTCGATCTCGAACCCGAAAACTTCAGGAACTGTTCCCTCTGGTGCTACAAAGGTCATCACTTTGCTTAGACCCACTTCTCGAAGCTCTTCAATCTCACCTTCTTGTTCTTCGAGCCCATCTAATGGCTCAGCCATCTCCACAAGTTCCCAGCCTCCATCTCGTTCCACCAAGGTCGACCGGCAAACACCTTCACCTTG